TGTCATTCATTCATTCCACCCCGGCATCACAGAAGTGGGGTCTATCTCCCCCGCACCATTGTCCATAGCCCCCCACTCCAGACCCTTCCCCATACATGCCCAGGCGACCTCCTGGTGAGAATTACACCCGAGTTTCATTTATCTTTGTGGCTTTTGGCTAAAGGGATCCACGCGCAGAAGCAGGTTCATGGGCCTAATCGGGCCTGATACATCTCTAACCAGACAGGGAGTGTGTCTGGATTTGTCGCCCGACAGGTACAGATGTCAAAGGCTCTCATCCATGAGACGGAATCACTCTTGGGGATTGAGAGGCTTAGGCGGTGTCAGTCAGAGATGGGCCACATATCTCAAACTGGGACGGAGGCTACTGGCAAAGCCCTCTTCAACCCACTGGAGGTCAGCAGGCCCAGCACTTCATAAACCAAGTTATGAGAGCAGAGCTGAGAATTTCTAAGGTGCCACCTTTTTAAAGCCTTTCACTTCACCTCCTATCAGTATCGGCTAGTGAGTCCTTCCAGGGAAGCACAGGTGAAGGGATGAACAAAGTGTCAGAAACAGAGCACCTGGGTTGAAACCCAGCTCCACTCTCTACTAGCTGAGGGGCCTTGGGCAAGTTGTTTACCTGCTCCTGGTCTCAGGTAACACATGTCGCAGGTGGACTGGCTGTCAGCAGTGAGTGGGATTCTCTAGGTAGCGGCTCCTTCTCTAATGCTCCTGCAGCACTTAGTTCCTCCCTGTTAGGTAGAAACTGTCTAGCACTGGACATATTACTTAACGTGAGACCCATTTAACGCCTGTCTACAATGGGGATGGTGACAGTGCCTCCTGGGTGGGGCTGTCAAAGAGTTAATACATATAGAGCATTCTGACAGCCTGGTGCATGGTGAGCCCTCAGGAAATGGTGGCAGTGGTTTTTGGTGGTGGTGGTGGGTGAGGGTACTCCAGCATCCCCGTCCTTGGGCAGAAAGTTTCCTGCTTGCTAGCCTTGTTTCTCCTGCCAGCAAGGGAACGGGTTAGGGGCAGGGTCTCTATCCAACCTGCATCCTGGCAAGGAGCCGACATTCCATAAATCTACGTTTGATAAATTAGCGAGAGAGATGATACTGTGCAAAGATAACACGCCACTGCGATGCTGCATAGTGACTCTGGGTATCTACAAGACCCCTGTGGCCTCTCATCCACTGTGAGGACTTGGGCAAATGACTGCGCCTCTCTGAGCCTCAGTTTTCCCATCTGTGATGTGAAGATATATGATATTGAGATATAGTAGAAATATATATATTTTGGTCTTATCCCTAGTTTCTTGGCATGCAGCTCCTAAATCCCATAGGATCTCCAGAAGTGATAATTCTTTTGTATGCTAATGAAATGACTGGTGTCTGGGGGCTCCTGGATAGCCTGGAGACTGGGGGACTGGTTGCCAGGGGAACCAACCACATGATCAGAGGGTTGACAATTTCAGCCTCACCTCTCAGGAGGGGAGAGGGCTGGAGATTGATTCCATCACCAATGGCCAATGATGTGATCAATCTTGCCCACATAATGAAGGAAAACACCCAACAAAGATGGGGTTTGGAGAGTTTCCAGGTTGGAGAACACATCCAGGTGCTGGGAGCATGTGTGACCCACCCCACCCACATACCTTGCCCAGTGTACCTCTTCCTTCTGGCTGTTCCTGAGTTGTGTCCTTTTATAATAAACTGGTGGTGAAGTCAGTAAGCTGCTTTCCTGAGTTCTGTGAGCTGTTCTAGCAAATAATTGAACATGAGGAGAGGATCTTAGGAACCTCCGATTTATAGCCAGTTGGTCAGAAGCACAGATGGCAGCCTGGACTTGTGATTGGAGTCTGGAGTGGGGGCAGTCTTGTGGGACAGAGTCTTTTAAGCTGTGAAGTCTGCACTAACTCTAGGAAGTGAGCGTCAGAATGGAGTTGTTAAATTGCAGGGCACCAAATCATTGCTCACTGAAAATTAGAGAATTATTTGGTGTGGGGAAAAACACTCTACACATTTGGTGGCCAAAAGTGCTGGTGCAGTCGGTATAGAGAAAGAGTTTGTTTTCCTTATTCAGGATAATAGGCCCACCTAGGAGAATGGATTTAGATGATGTCTCTGAAGCATCCAGTACAATTCTGGGCCTTTGGTGGATGCTTAAAGAATGGTGGCTGGCGGCCAGGCGCGGTGGCTCACGCCTATAATCCCAGCACTTTGGGAGGCTGAGGCGGGCGGATCACGAGGTTAAGAGATCAAGATCATCCTGGCCAACATGGTGAAACCCTGTCTCTACTAAAAATACAAAAATTAGCTTGGCATGGTGGCGTGAGCCTGTAGTCCCAGCTACTCGGGAGGCTGAGGCAGGAGAATTGCTTGAACCCAGGAGACGGAGGTTGCAGTGAGCTGAGACATGCCACTGCACTCCAGCCTGGCACCTGGTGACGGAATGAGACTCTGCCTCAAAAAAAAAAAAGAAAAAAAGAATGGTGGCTGGCAGTTGTCCCATGGAAGCCAGGCTGGAAAACTGGTGACATTGGCCAAGAATCTCCTTGCCTAGGTCCCACTTCCGCTTCCTGCTGCCCTTCTGTGGTCCAAAATGAACACACCTGCCCCCAATCCCTGAGAACCTCAGCCAACTGGAGTCCTGTGAGGGTGGCTATCAATCAATTAGTTCCCACGAGGTGTGATTTGTAGGCTCTACCTTTTCCAGGGCCACTTGCACATATAAGAAAGAATTTTGGAGGCGGCACGATTTACAAGTTAGCAAGCTAGAACCATAGGGAATGATGAGGACTGGAAAGAATTCAAGAGCAGTGTATTCAAAATTGTTAAACAGTACATTGGCAAAGCAAAACATTTGGTTATGGGTCCCCAGTTTGCCACCTTCAAGACAAAGGTGGGCTGGAAAGGTGAAATTCTAAGCTGAGGGTTAATCAGGACCAGAATAGCCACACTTCCGCTTCGGATCATTCCAGGGCGGCTCTGAGTCTCTAAAACCTGTGAGAACGGCCACAGTTGGGAGCCTTTCCTCTCCTCCTTGCTTCAGTGAAGTCCAAGAGCCAGGGACGGTGCCCCTCACACTGCCAGGAAGGCCTGACACTACCCTCTCCATGGTGCAAACTGTGGCCAATCCACTCCTTATTTAGAAAGAGCTGGGACTTAAATGTAGTGGATGATATGGGAGCAGCATGACAATTACCAGCTTAAACTGAAATAAAGGAAAGGAGGATTAAAACACACCCAGCACCCATCAAGCCAGGCCAGAAGAGGAGAGCAAAGCCCTGTTTCTACATTAACCCCTCATCTGCCAGGCGCAGGTCAGAAGGGTGCCTAGGGAAGAAGCTGGGAAGCAGAGGGTGGGTGGAGAGAGGCTGAAGGAAGGTCGGAGGTGGTGCTGATTTGGCCTCCCAGACTGTCAAGGACGACACCCCGCTCCTTTTGACAGTACACCCAGTGGTAGGACCTGTGGCTCAAACTAGGCAGACCGAGTTCAAATCTCAACTCCATTAACCAGCGCTGTAATGGTTGGCAACTTCCTCAACCTCTGAGTTTCAGTTTCCTCATCTAGACCAGTGGGATGTACCAAGACCAGCTTGGCCATAAAGACCCCTACCCAGGCAGCACTGAAGGCATTGAGAAGCAGACACCTAGATAGAACAGCAAAGTGGGACCATCCGGGAGCCAACAGCCTTCCGAACTGAGAGCCTCAGGGGCTCGAGCAGACGCTGACCCACGTATTTACTCTCTGTGAACAGGTGATCGTTATTAACAAACAGGTGTTCTGTGTTTTCACATAGACCCAAGATAAACCAGGTAAGCAGCTGGTGCCTGCTTACCACTGATCACAGACAAACTAGAAAGCATTCTCCACGAGGGAGCCACGGGGACAGATTCACATATCCCATGCTTAAAGAATTGTTTTAACCAGCGTATGATATACATATACTGTTTTGCTACTTTAGAATGCCCCAAGCAGTTTTCCACTTGAGGGTGGGGGCAGCCAGGTTTTCCTTTCCATCATTCTCAGCAAACGATATAATTTATCATACATGCTAGGACTTGTCCCAATAGGGATGATGATTATTCCTCTTAGGATTAAACGGGGTGGTACCTGCATGTCACTGGGCAGACAGCAATACTCAGCAAACGATGTCTCTGCCGATCAAATGCAGTCAGGAGCTAAGAGCCAGGTATAGCACAGATCACGCCTAATTCCATTACTCCTAGTCATTCAGCTGCAGACAGTCTCTTTAATCTTTCTGTAGGGGGAATGTGTGGTGCTCAGATGTAAATCCGGCAGGAACTTGGCACCTTTGCAGCGGCCTCAGCCTCTCCTTTCTCTTGGGTGCAGGGCTCAGCTGGGCAGGTGGGCCAGGACCAAGGCCTGGGCCCCTGGCAGCCCCTCTGGGTTGCTGCAGCATTTCCTCTTGAAAGGGTGAACTGCTCTGGGGGCCGGGAGATGCACCCCACAGGGCCGAGGCAGCCTGGGCACTTTCCCCAGGAAATTCTTGACACTTTGCACTTTTCCAGCCTGCCTCCTTGAAGGGGGCTGCTCATCTGTCCTCCCCTGGATGTACTAGAATTGGCCCCATAGGCTGACCCAGCTGGACCCCACGCTCTGGGTGAGCTGTGGCTGGATTTGTTTACCCATCTCCTTTAGCTCTCCACGGGAGAGCAGCCCTTGGTTTCTGAACAAGGGCAGTTCTAGGCCACCTTTGAAAGGACCTGCTGGGATTTCTGCAATGCTCCCCTCCAGCATCCACGGCAGGTCACTGAAGCCCAGCTGATGATCTGTCCCTGCCTACCCCGAGAGCCTCTGACCCTGAAGCTTGTGTTTTTTCTCAACCACATCACATCCTCATCACAGGCACCAGGGTCAGTGTCTTCCTTGGTCTCTGAATCAGGCCCAGGCTCACCCCTCCTTTGTTCAGCTCAGCATTCACCTAGCCCAGCCGTGTCCCATATATCAATCAGCATTCTGCATAGAAAGTAGAAACACCCAAAGTATCCAGCAGAAAGAGATTTAATAAGGGAAATAGTGACTTACAGAGTAATCAGAGGGCCCAGGCAAATGAAGGTCAGGACCACTGCTCCGCTTTGGCTTAAGGTCACATCCCCACAGCTGTGAGCCTGAGACCAGGAGACAGCAGCTGCCCCTGTAAGGCCCACTAATGCAACTCCAGCTGACCCACATTCAGGAAGCTGGTGGCAAGACCATGGATATACCAGTTGCTGCAAATCCTCACGTTGGCAGGAGACTGCGGACCATCCAACACACTGCAGAAGAGCACCTCTGCCTCTCTGCCACTGTCCAGAGCTCATGGAAGTACCTCTTGATGGCAAAACTGAAACTGCAGCCAAATCCAAGCAGCAAGAAACTCTGGCAAATGTCATTTTTGCCCTGCTAGCCCCTGTGATACAGAGGGAACATAAAGGGTGTGAAACGATGCTAAGTGCTGGCAGACAGCATGGAGCACAGCCCAGAACTCACTGGGAACCCCAGCTAGCCGCAGTCCCGGTTTGCTGTAGCCCCACCCAAGCCTGTGGCTAGTGCTGACTCCTGCCTCTGTCGCATCGCCCCACTCGGCCTCTGACCTTTCGTAGGGGTGGAGGACTGGCCTCATCCATTCCCCAGCCCACACCCAGCTCCTTCAGCTGAGGCCCTCCTAACCCTGGCACAACTCCAGGGCCTTCCTGGGGCTTTTTTGGGATGGAACCAATCCAAAGGCTGGCTCTGCCAGAGGCTGGCTTGGGACTTAGGATGCCTGTGCTGCAGCTACAAACACAGAATGTGCCGTCTCTGAGCCACATCCCCAGAGCACATTCACCTGGGGGTCTCGTCCAGCTGTGAGGTTCTGAGACACACACACACAGTCCTCAGGGAGCTGGGTGCAGCTTTGCTGAATCCACCCAGAGTCACTATCCAACTCTACTCTGGAAACATGGACAGAGATAGGTACTAAGGGAGGAGGGGTGGCTGAAGCAGAAGGTAGGACAGGTCAGGGACTGCCCCCCCTGCCCAGCGCATCCCCCACCACTGACTTGTGGCTTGAGTGGGCTGGGAAAACCCGCTGAGGGCAGCTTTGGGGAGGACAGAAGAGGCTGGGGCGAGAGACGTGGTAAGGGCAGAAGTGAAGCACTTGGGCCACATGAGAGAAAAAGCCACTGTCTGTGCTGAGCTGGACCTTTGGGCTCAGACCCCAGCCTCCCTGCTCTCCCTTCCTTAGTGCCCCTCAACTAGACCTTTCCCAAAGCAAAGCTAGAGCCATGCCAATGACCTTGAGTTGCACATCCAGTTTAATCCGTATCAGCATCAGAGTGAAGGCCTTGCTGTCAGTCCAGGATATTTATAACCTGCTTGCCACGTCCCACTACCTGGCGGTCACCAGGAAACTAGGCCACAGGAGCCACAGAGGAGGCAAACCGTCCCCCGCCCCAGCCCCAGCCTCAGACGGCTCCTCTGTGGCTGTTCGCGCCTGCCTCAGCTGTCTGCATCCTCCCCATGTCTCTGCTTCCTGCTGGCAATCAAAACCCACCAGAGTTCCCAATGCCTGGGGCATGTCCACAGGCCTGAGTGCCATGTCCATGCCTTCACTTACCCCTGTCTTCCCTGCCCACTCCCCATGGTGGTGTGGTGTGGTCATGAAGGCTCCACCTGCCCGGGGTCAGGTGTCGGCTCCACTGCTCTCTGTGTAGACCTGGATAATCTTGTGTGACCTTTCTGTGTCTCAGTTTTCTCATCTGTAAAATGGAATTGATAAAGACTCCATGAATAAAAGGCTCAGAATGGTGCCTGACACATAATAAGGACTCAGTGTGTGCTAGCTTTTCTAGAAAAGTCTATCAGATAGCAGCAGAAGCACCAAGGCCAGGCTGTTCAGGTTCAAATCCTGGTTTGGCCACTCACTGGCCATGCGATCTTGTGCCCGTGAGTTATCCACTCTGGGTCTTAGTTTCTTCCCACGCTATGGTTTGGATGTTTGTCCCCTCTGTATCTCATGTTGAAATGTGATTCCATGTTGGAGGTGGGGCCTGTTGGGAGGTGTTTTGGTCATGGATCTCTCATGATTGGCTTGGTGCCCTTCTTGTGGTAATGAGTGAGTTCTCCCTCTGAGTGCACGCGAGATTTGGTTGTTTACAAGTGTGTGGGACCTCCCCCTTCTCTCTCTCGCTCCCTCTCTTACCTGTTCCTGCTTCATCTTCCATCATGAGTAAAAGCTCCCTGAGGCCTCACCAGCAGCAGATATTGGGCTGTGCTTCCTGTGTAGCCTGCAGAGGTGTGAGCTGATTAAACCTGTATTTAAAAATAAATTGCTCAGCCTCGGTGTTCCTTTACAGCAACACAAAAACCATGTAAAGTCAGAAATGATAATATCTACCTCATAGAATTGTGAGGATTAAATAAGCTAATGTGGAAAGCTCTGAGAATGGTACCTGGCACACAGTAGGTGGTCAATTAGAACTAGCCTAGCTCTGATAATGATCATAATTACCATGATGATCATTGTTTATTCTGGAATGATTTCCTCCCAGCCAGGCTGCCCTCTCCTCTTCCTGCCTCCACCCTTTAGCTGACACAAATGTTCTCCTTACACACACTCTCTCTTTTCTTCTTCCTTCCCAATTCAAATGTTGCATTTCTTTCAAGCCTCATCTCCTCCATGCAGCCTTCCTTGACCATTTTGGTGAACTTTGCACCATCCCCCTTCCCCAGACCACCTTAGACCTGATCCCCACATGATTCCAGGCCCTAAAAGCGGAGGCTCTGCCAAGCCCACTTCTCCTTCCTGTCTCATGCTGGACCCTCAGCGTTGAGGTCAAAGACGTCCTAGATCAGATGTTTCCTTGCTGAGTGTCCAGGCCCCTGATTCCTGGGATGAGGGTGCAGTGTGACCTGGCCCCCAACAGACAGGTGTGTGTGGGCACACACACACACACACACACACACACACACACACACAATGTTTGCACCATGTAGAGTAAAACTTAGTTGTTTTCCCAGAGATAATCCCACATTCTGGCTACTGACAACCAAAATGCCTTTTCTTTCCCAAGCCCAGTCATTTTCTGGATTTTCCCAGCTGGAGGGAGGACCAGGCCAGTATGCTGTGTCCTAGGAGTGGACCCGAAACCTCTCCCCACCAGAAAAGAGCAGGCAGGAAAATGTCTTCCTTGGACACCCAGGCACAACAAGCCCAGGGACACAGGACTGAACATGGGGGAGGGCAGGGGTGGGTGGGGGCGAGGATCTGGCTAAAACACCACAGTCCTTTCCTTGAGGAAGAAAGCAGCACCTGAATGTCACTGTGCTCTCTGTGTTGAAGGTCTAACAGACGGCAGGTCAGCCCAGCGGGTCAGCGGTCCTGACCCAGTGCTGTGGCTTTGTCCAGCACTCTTAGCCTCCTCTAGTCAGGGGCTTGCTCACATTGCCCCCCTCCTCTGTCCTCCCTACTGGCCGTCACTGAAGAGAGCTCTCCTCCAGCCTGCTCCGTCACCTCCCCAGCGATCCCCTCTCTTCTGGGGAGTAGCCTGGCTGGGATCAACGTTGCTCAGCCCACAGGGGAAGCCCTTTGGTGGGAAGCCCCCCTTTTTCCTGCGTGCTGGGGCAGGAAGCAGGGACAGGAGAAACGTTTGCAGGGTTAGAGAGGGGTGCTTCCTCTGCAGTCATTGTCCCCCCTGGGGGCTGAGGGCTGATTCCAAAATGGATGAGGATGGGAAGACGCCCCTCCTGCAGTGCTTGGCCCTCAGGCCTTACCCTCACCCCTCTCCCCTGCTCTAGTCTAAGAGCACCTGCAAAGGAGCCTCACTCTAGCTCTCATGACCCACAGCTGAAAATTAACCCCCTCCACATTCTAAGTTATCCCAGAGAATAATGCCATCTCAAAGGGACATTTGTCTAATGGAGGGAGCCGAGGCCAGGGGAGAGGGGTGTGTGGGAGAGAAGCCTTGAAAAATCCAGCCAAGCATCTGTGGTTTGTGCTCCGTGTAAAGTGAAATCTGGGCACTTCTTCCACTGAACAGCATGGGAGTAACTGTAGTGATACTAGCTAGCATTTATACAGCACGCTACAGTTACAAGATGCTTGCCTCACCCTCTCTGTTTGCTACCCTTCTGCACTGCAATAGATTGCTGGAAGGCAGTTTAACCTCCTTTGACGTGGGAGGAACAGAGCCTCAGAACAGCTAGGAAGTGGGGATCAGAGGCTGGTGCCCCACCCAGGTGTCCTTTACCAGCTGGGCACTCGCTCCAAGCTGCTGTGGTGTTGGCTGCTAACAGCTCATCACTGTGCCCTTCTCCTCCACATTGGCTTAGCCAGCGGGAGTCACTTCCCTGGGAGATGCTTTGGAGGATGAGCCCTCTACCACAGCCCCACCCCTGGGAGTAGCCTTTAGCTAAGGCCTGACTGCTGTTTGGACAGAAAAGCCGCCCTCTTGTTTCAGGTAGAACAAGCTCCATGTGCCGTACACGCCCCGAAGCCCCTGTGGGTTTGGGCCCAGCTAGACCTCCCCTGAAGTGGCATCTCTGCCTGGACCCTTCTGCCGCTCCATCCTTCCCATGCTCCCTCCCAGCTTCTCTGGCAAGCACTCACTCAACAAACCACATGCTGGAATCACCTCTCAGACCCTGCTTCTAGGGAACCAGACAGAGGGTGAGTACGCGGGGCTTCAGATCCTGAATCTGAATCCGGACGTTCTTGAGACAGTCTGGCCAGGCATGCTGAGGGTGTCTGTTGTGGTGAGAACCTTGCCTCCTTCCAGGACCTCAGCTCTCTCCCTCTCCTCCTCCCAGGGGAGAAACTGGTTCTTTAACACTGACAGTGAACTGAGGGATGAAGCTGCCCAGAGCCCCGGCACCTCCCACACCCCACTGAAAGCTCCCTCTGTGCCCCTCCCACCCCGACTGTGGCGGCCATCATGATTCAGGCCTCATCCCCACAGCCCTCCACGGGCCCCCAGACTGCTACCCAGTGCCCTGGCATGTTAAGCAGTGCAGATGGCAATTAGCTGCGTGACAGGAAAATGTCCCGACACTAATTATTTCAGGGACAAGGCCGGGGACCATTAATAAGTGATGAAGGAGTCTTTCCAGAGGCTCTTTGGCTGGGTCTTGCCCCAGCCTGCAGAAGGCTGGAGGCTGAATGGAGCCTTCCCCACGCAGAGTTCAGTGGTGTGGGTGGCTGGTGAGACAAGTGGCATTGCCGAGGGAGATGCCACTTATTTTCCCGGGGAAGTCAGGCTGCTCTCCCCAGCAGTTACATCGACAGCTATTAAGGGTACAGTCCTCATCCTTCAGACAGGCAAAAGCAAACAACAGTGGTTCCCTGCATCTTCTCTGCTGAATAATTGATTGTAGAATGCAAGCTCATGAATGAATTCCGGGAGAATCCCCAGTCAGCCCCCTCTACACTCTCACATCTGCCTCCCCTTCCCTGTCCCAATCCGAGAGGCAGGCAGAATTTCCATTTTCCTGAAACGATTCCGTTTCCTCTGTGCCTGTTTCTAAGGTGGCCCCCGGGACAACTCCCACAAGGAGCAGCTGTCAGGGGCCCGCAACAAAGGACGGTATGTACAGGTGGAGGGCTGAACCGCGCCAGGTCAGCCCAGGACTTGGACAGTGTCTCTCTCCAGAGAATCACAGTAAGGCTGAGAGAAGAAGAAAACCATCGTGCATTCATAAACCCTTTCATGCGCCAGAGTGAATGCAAATGCACACACTCTCACACTCACATGTACACACTGACACACACACATGCACAGACACAACACACACATACTGACACATTCACTCTCACACACAGAGACACTCTTGCATACACACCAATACTCTCACACATACATATCCATTGACACACACTCTCATGCACACTGACTCTCACACATGCATATGCATTGACATACACTCATACACACTGACACACAATTGCTTTTGTGTGCACATGCACACTGACACACACTCATATGCACTGACATGCTCTCACATACACAAACACATGCACATACACATACATATGCACTGACACATACATACTGGTGTGCACATACACTGAAACATGTACACTGACATACATATACACTGACACACACATTCACCTGCATACACTGACACATCCACTAACACAAATACATGCATACTGACACATATGCACTGACACACAGTGACACACATACACACTGACACATACACACAAATATGCACTGACACACACATGCTTACATTCACATAGCCTCACACACATACACAGACATACACATACACACCGACACACACAACACACACATTGATACATTCTTCCTCATAGACACTTACACCCTCTCACACTCAGATGTACACACTGTCACACATACATATGCACTGACACAAGCTGACCAGCAAATATACACACTGACACTCGCACACATACACATGGACACACACTCATACACATGGACACACGCTCATATACACTCCCACACATACATACACACTGACACACTCTTTCTCCCTCACACACATTCACATATACTCTCACACTGACCATACACTCACACTCACACATTCATTCTCACACACACATACACCCTGACACATACACACTCACACTTACACACAAGTACACAATGACACACAAGCCCTTCCTCTCTCCCTCTCTCTCTCTCTCTTTCACACACACACACACACACACACACACGCACTTGAATAGACAGGGGCTCCCATACTTTAATAGCCTAAATATGAAGGTGATATTTATGGGGGAAGAGAG